TTCTAGTATTCGGAAGCGGACAATTCTTAACAAACTTAATCCTAATACTGCATCCCATATTTTTGACACCATGGTATTCCCAATCTTAAGTTACAACAGTGAGGTATGGGGGGTGTACACCAAGCAAGATTTTAAAAAATGGGATAGCTCCCCAATAGAAAAAGTCCACCTCAAATTCTGTAAACGTTACTTAGAGGTTAACAATAAGGCCTCTAACATAGCTTGCAGAGCTGAACTTGATAGATTGCCGCTGCTTATCCCGATAAATCAGAAAATTATGAAATATTTTGTTTACCTCAACAACAAAGATAATGACTCTATAGTCAAACAGTCTTTCCTTATGTCAAAGAATCTACATTCAGGATATTTTTCCAATTTCATAAACATGTTTGAACAAGACAATCTAACCAGTTTAGATGCTGAATCTCTAGATAATGATAAAATTAGACGATATACCACAGAAATGAGAGAGAAATATCTATCTTTTTGGTGGCACAGCCTTGAAAATTCAAAAAAACCTGAATTTTATAAAACTTTTAAAGACGAATATTCTACATCTGATTATCTCTACCAGCTAAGACGTTATGACGAACGACAGAATTTTGTTAAATTTAAAATAAGTAATCACAAACTTATGATTGAACATGGTCGATACCAAATCGATCATTTGCCAAGAGAAAATAGATTATGTCCCTCATGTAACTCAAATCAGGTAGAGGATGAGATTCATTTCCTCTTTCAATGTAACAAATACTCAGTACAGAGACAGGCATTTATTAATCAAATCAATCGAATAATACCTGACTTTGACAAGAAATCATCTCCAGAAAGCATAAAACTGATAATGAATTCGAAGGAACATCATTTTAAAATACATATGTTTTTTTTGTTGTTGTTGTTTGTTTTTACTACATTCTGCAAATTATATTCAAACAGGTGTTGTGGTCCGGTTTTAGCACGCAGGTTCGATACTATTTTATTCATATTGTCTTGAGTTTCATTAGTGTTATAAGGCTCGATTTCGTTTGACTGTAAATATCCTAGCGATTAAATATGTGTAGGCCTGAAATAAACAACACAAGCTTGTAAGGGTTACTACACAGCTGCCATGAGAGACGAGAACGGATTTCGCAATACAATTTGTACTGCAGTGTCCAATGAATGTAACACTGTAACTGTTTGCTTACCGATTATAACGATGTACAAAGAAACCCTGAATCTTGGAATATTCCTTGCTCGATCCCTCTGAGATCCTGGAGATCGCCATATTTGATTTTAGACACAACTGAATTATGGGTGCAGCACAGGTCACCCAGATAGTTAGGGCCTGTTGATAGATGCTAATCTTTGCGGACAGAGGTTAACAGTAGGGTTGGCGAAAAACCGTGCGTTTTATATTACAGAGAGTGAAGTTCGCGCTGGGAGGGTTTTCTTGTTTGTGAGAAAGTGTATTCTTACATAATGGAGTAGGCCATTTGCACCTGGTGTCATTTTACCATTATCAGGGTATTGCTTTCTTGTGCAAGTTAAGGCTTTTGTTATTAAAACCTTACTGGGACTACCAAATTTAAATAGAAAAAAAAAAACGAAATGAACTCTGGTCTTAGTAGTAAAAATAAAGGGATACGTCATCGTTCAAATGGCCCACGGAGCTGTTGCCCGCGCGAAGCCTGGGTTTTTGCCCCGTTTGGGGCAATTACACAGTCCTCCGCGGCCATGCGCAACTTCGCTGCAAGAGATCACGGTGAGTGAAACTGCATTAGTTTTTTTGTTTTTTGTTTTTTTTTTACTTTCACAAGTAGAAGTCTTGACGTTTCTGTCAGTCTTTAAATGCCGGTAACTCTGGGAGACACTCGAGCAAAAGCTCTTGGTTCTTGCCGCAAGAGTTACCGGCAGGTAATTGGGGTTAAAACGAGAACGGTAAATAGGACATCTTGCTTGGAAACCGCAAGAGGTGCTCCGAATATTTCTCTCTCAAAGCTACTATTAACTTGAGCCAGTTAACAAACTTTAGTAATGCTAGTATTTTATGCTGCAATACTTCTTTCCCTGAATTGCTGTTGCTTATTATTATTTATTATTATTATCTTTTTTCACCAGAGAGGGAGTAAAGCAGTGGTCACTGCACTAAAGGAGCCTAAAGAACTTTGACCCTTTCGAAAAAAACAGACCCAACGGACAATACAAGGACCACGGAAATAGCATACTAGATTGCTTACAAACCCTGTGTGCTTTAAGAAGCCTTTTCTGGCCAAATTAGAAAGATCACCATGGCAGATTATAAACTACAAGAGATAGCTAACACTTGTGTTATTTCTGTCTGATTTCACTTAAAAAGGTACCTATCTAAGAATTCCAGCCGTTGGCTAGTGTAGCTATCTAACTTACCGCCATACAGTAGTGGTGACACACGCAAGCATTGAAATCAGTGCATACTTTTTGTTCGTTATACTCCTCCCATATTAGTTGTTGGGACAAGGGCCTCAGAAGCCGGTGGGGGGGTTTGAGGGGAAAGGGGCGTGATTCGCTGGCCAACCTCTACTACACTTGAACGAACCTTAGCCACTCTAAGGCCTTTTTGGTAATTCAGAAGTTACGTCAATTTGGAGACCACAGAAAAGGCATCCATTTTTTACACAGCCTCTTCTGTTGTAGGGTACCTTTTTCCAAAATCAGACAGATATATATATATATATATATATACATACACACATATATACACACATATATATATATATATACACACACATATATACACATATATATATATATATATTGTGTAAAAAAAACGGTACCGTAAGAAAGCTGTTTTTTTACACTGATATATATTTGTAAAAAAACAGCTTTTTTACAAAAATATATTTTGTAAAAAAACGGTCCTACACTAAATGTTGCTGGCGAATTCAGCTTGTGTTCATATTAAAGTTGTTTAGCCTTTACAAGTGTTTTCGGGCTTATTTCTCGATCTCTAAAATAAAACACGCATTGCCGTACGTTACAGACCGCCTTTATAGTCCCTAATTGTTATAAACAAATCGGCTGCTGTTTTTATGGCCTTATAAAGTTGCTCTGTGTATTGCAAAAATTAGACTAACAAGCGAGTGTATGTACGCTTGTAGCTATAGGCTAGCGTTTCCTTTTGCTTGATTAGCCGACTGAACATGTTCCTACATCATGTTGAAAGCTTAAAGTTGTAACACAGACATGACACTCTTGCATGCATCAACATGGATTTCAACATAGCATGAATCCCGTGATAGAAGTTTAGCGCATCATACACAATACAGGAAATTGCCTAACAATTGCTGTCGTTGATTCTTGCTGAAGATTTTATGCTAGAAATGGAGTTATAATTTATTTGTCCACTGCCAAGAGCATCAAAGCATTATAGGCAAGTATTTTGTTGACAGTTAAACCGATTATTGCAGCTGATAACCTTGGGAAAATAGATAAATAATACAGAACAATATTCTGTACAGTTTTCGGCTTAAACGAAAGTAGCAATGAAGGAGAGAATAGAAGGCTTTGGTTGCTGCAAGAGATTGTGACAGGCATTGCTTATAAATAAGACAGTGAACAACCCAGCTATTCTGTTATTGCCTAACATGCAGTTACTGCCGTGCGTGACCTCAGCCGATGATAAGCATATCAAATGAAATTACTGCCTGTTCCTTCTTCGCATCCAACAATTAGAAGGTCCTGGAAAATTGAATGACAAAGGAAACAAGAAGAAATAATAAAAAGAATAAAAAGAACGTAAATTTTTAACGCTGTCAGCGAGTTAACAAGGGAATTTAAAAGCCCCACAATAAAGGGGACACGGGAACGTGAACGTGACTAGCCGTATATATTATAATCTACGGTTTGAGAAGCGCACGAAAAAGTTCGAACCATGCTATAGAAAACAGCCTGTCTTCGATAAATGGGTTTGTCAAATGGTCTATATGGGTAAAATAGCAGGATTTTTACATAAAAAGGCAGCTTTCTTACAAAAATATCTTTTGTAAAAAAACAGATTTTTTACATAAAAAAGCAGCTTTTTTACAAAAATATATTTTGTAAAAAAGCAGCTTTTTTTACAAAAATATATTTTGTAAAAAAGCAGCTTTTTTACATAAAAAAGCAGTATTTTTACAACCGCTTAATTTGTAAAAAAGCAGCTTTTTTACATAAAAAAGCTGCTTTTTTACAAAAATATATTTTTGTAAAAAAGCAGTATTTTTACAACCAGGTAACTTGTAAAAAAGCAGCTTTTTTACAAAAATATATTTTTGTAAAAAAGCAGTTTTTTACAACCAGGTAAAAAAAGCTTTTTTTTTACAAAAAAAAAGCTTTTTTTTAAAAATTTTTTTGTAAAAAAGCAGTATTTTTACAACCGCTCAATTTGTAAAAAAGCAGCTTTTTTACATAAAAATGACGCTTTTTTACAAGGACCGTTTTTTTATGCAACATATATATATATATATATATATATGTTTTTGACCTAGGTCAAGTCTATGTATCTATACATATATATATATATATATATATATATATATATACACATATATATATATGTATAGATACGTAGACTTGACCTAGGTCAAAAACATTTACTTGCTACTGAGAGTTTCATGCTTCATGAGAAGCAATCATCAGGCAACTGCCAAAAAGAAACAATGCATGGTGTTTTATAGTGATTTTGAAAAAAACGGTAGCGATTCATAATAGGCTGAGTTGTATAGCAACGGATAAACAATTTCCAGTAAACCGCTGAAAAAGAAAAAATAAAATACGTCTTACAGGCTTAAATAATCACGTTATTTAGAAGAAATTTCTTTGCATGTCTGCAACTTGACACGAGTTCATTTCAAATCACTATAAAACACCATGTATTGTTTCTTTTTGGCAGTTGCCTGATGATTGCTTCTCATGAAGCATGAAACTCTGAGTAGCAAGTAAATGTTTTTGACCTAGTTCAAGTCTAAGTATCTATTCAAAGCTCTCTCTATATATTACACTCACCGGTTATAACCAAACCAGGAATAAGAGCGGTAAGACAGAGACAGTTCCCGTAATGATACAAGTGCAACAACTTGGCTGATCCCTGCATTTCCAATTTTCCAATTGCATTTCAGAGTAGAAGAATAGTACGATCTTCGGCCGACTTGAAAGGTCCCAAACAATTCATTTAAGTTGCCTCCACAACCTGCAAACAAACGGGCAATGTCCCATGTTATTGCTGGTTTTTAATATCAGGCCATCAAAAATGAAGGAATCGTTCAATAGATATGGTCCAGAAACAGGGAAATGAAAGGAGATAACTAAGATCCTCGCCAAGATTCAGGTCGGCACATTTTTTCATATGCGAGATATTCGGATAACTGTTTTACCCATATTTATAGAATTAGTATTTTGTATGGAGACGCCATGCTGGTCTAAGACGGCGGCCGGAAACGAACAGAAACGTATGTCACTGAGTTTTGCTGCAAAATCTTGAATTTATCGCCCGAGGAACTCATAAACATTTAAATAACACTTTTTTTTTCAAACAAACATTTTTGATAAAAATCAGTGATAAAAAGCCACAATGTTTCGATTTGCGAGTGCGAGTGCCAGTTTCATAAATATATTACAACGGTTTTAAAATAGTTTAAAATGTAAAAATACAATGAACGATAAGAAGCTATAAAATGTGTAAAGGATAGGTGATAAATTGTTTTTAAAACATGGAAATAAATAAATAAATAATAATAAGGCTAATTAAAATCGATCTAAACAAATAATTAAGCGCGGATGGAATCACTCTGTTCAGAGTTGGTTTCAGTTCTTTGATAAATTGCATTTCAAGGCAATCAAGTTTGTTGCGGCACTTTCTTTAAATTCTAAATTTTCGCGCAAATTCATTTGGGGACATGTTGTACTGATCCCTCAGGTGGTTTCCGATTGCAGGTCGAAACGAGGTCGAAACGTCGTCGCCTTTTATCGCTGATTTTTATCACAGAATGACTGTTCAGAAGGAAAAGTCTCCTGAAATAACTTGAGGTCACCTTTTTTTACCCTACGTGACAGTTCTATTGGCCGTTTTGTAGATGTCGCATCTCGCAAATGCATAGAAGTTTGTTCTGAATCCATCGCTCTATCTTTGTAAACATTTTTCTACAGTTAGTATGTGAGGTTGAGTATGAGAGAAAGACTCTGTGCAAGGGGGATTAACGCAAATCAGCATTTTATAAATAACTAAAACTTAACAGCATTATGACATAAAATATCACCTGTGGTTATGTGCTGCCAATACGACTGGGTTCCAGCGCCTTTAGACGTAAAGGCTGCTACAGCTATTTGATAGCGAGTTGCTGCCTTGAGACCTCTTAATATCACCATGTTAACAAACGGACCACTGGTGCTGACCGATTTTGTCAACTTGTACCAATTATAATATTCGTAAAAGTAAACTGTGTATCCAAGGAGACGCCCATTGGCAAATTGCTGAGGGAGAGGATTCCACTCTACTTTAACCTGATCAAACCGTACTTTAGTCATCCTGATATAAGATGGTGCCCTGCTGGGAACTAAAACAAAAACAAGGTGATTAATTGTAGTAAAAATAAGTGCAGTCTTTTGGCCCATACTAAGTTAACGACAGTATACAATACTGTAATAATTAACCCTATTCAGACTGGGGGGGGGGCTTTTCGAACCCCCCCTCCGGCAAAATCGTGATAACTCCTACACCGAAAGAGCTATGACGTTCAAATTTTCTGACTTTTCCTAAAATTTATCTAGGAACATTTTGGTGTAATTACCATGTCCATGTGATTAATCATGTTGCCATGGCAACCAGTTTCTGACACATAGGTTTTGGAAAATTTAAAAAATGGTGATTTTCTTGTTTTAAGATCGCGTTTTTGCACTTATAGTGCCTTTTGTTGTTAAAATGGTCTTTGCTTGGGACTAGTTTTTGAATTACATCAAAATGTTTCAACATCGAATATTTGGGGGGGAGGGGTGGGGTAAAATTTGTCACTTTTTTGCTTTGACAAATATGCTGCTCTATTTTCCAAATAACACTTCCAAAGTCATTTGTTTGGGTAATAACCATTAGTCTGATACTTCTTTTATACATTCTGAGCTTTTTCCCCTTTGAAAGTTGCTTTAAATGTTAATTTTAGCAAAAAAACGGAAATCCAAGATGGCGGATCCAAGATG